AGGTGTTTTAAAAACTGCTACATGCAATGCATTCATAGTTTTTATACATATTCTCACAATTCCGTTTATAAATCACCATTTACTCTTAGACTGACAGGGTTTTCCCGGTATGTAAATTCTATAATATCCGTCTTCACACATGATTGTGGCGTCTCTTGTCTTGGTGCAGGTTACATCAACAATATCGTACTGGGGAGAAAATAGTTATCAGAATAATCATTTCTTGACAATTTTATTATTGAAATTGATTTGAGATCGATGAATATCTATGCCAAATTTGACCCCCCCCCCCCCCCACAAAAAAAATTGTATCATTCACAAACTACAATTTTTATTAAATATAAATTTATTTAAATATGCAATCTACCATTTCTGTTTCGTAACATTTCTCACAGCAACGATGTTTCCGTTCTTGTGCCATCATGGATGTCATAAATCTTCCATCTTCACAGGGTTTACATTCCAAACAGTCAAGATACTCTTTGCTTCAAATAAATGATTTTATTCAATCAACATTCACATACAAACTTGGAGGTAATGGGATGGGTCTTGATGGGACGTTGGGATCACAATCTCTATGACTTTCCCGTGCTTGCAATAATGTTGAAGTCAATAGTAGAATACTTCCTAGAGTATTAATGTACAATACATTCTTATGCTCCATGTCAGTTATTTTTCAAGTTGAATTAAGTGCTTCGATTTTTCATACAAATTAAACTACACTTTTAATGTTAAAGTCGAAGCCTTCATTTAAACAACTTCCAAATAAAAAATATTTTGCTAAAGAAACCATTAAGTCAAGACTCGTGCCGTTATATGTTTCCAGCCACGTCACAAAAATTCGATACAATTAGTTTCCATAGAAACTATTCCATTCATAAAATAAAAGATTTGTTTGGTACCAGCTACAAAAAGTACATTCAATAATTTCTTTTCTTTTTTTTTTTTTAAATATGTAAATTCTGTCACTGAACTTATTTATTTAAATTCGATGCGTCTTAAGATGAACAGAATTCACATAATAACACTCTTGATCACTCTGATTTAACATATTAGAGGCATTTATTTTACAGAATGGTATAAACGAATCTCCCAAAAACAACACTACAAAAATATCGTCTACGATCGTACCACAGTGAGACTGCAGTGTTTTCTCACAAAACATGTTCTGTACTTGAGGACCAACTTTCCTGGCAGTTACATTATTATTACGGTTAACGCTATAACTGCAAACATGTAATTAAGGTCGGGATTTATTTTAGAGATTCCTCTTTTTTTCCAGCTACTTTACTTTGGAATACTGCCAAGTTCCTGCATTTATAAAACGCGTCACAGAACAAACAAACCACCCCCACCCCCCCAAAAAAAAGAGCTATTGACAAGGCCTGTAACAGAGTTTCAGTATTTATTGAATGTGGTCCGTCAATGGATTCTATGTTCAGCCTTCAAAATATGGACAACGGCCAAAAACTTTTAAACTATTGAACACATACAATTTAAGGGACGGCAGCGATTGAATCGTGCCAGCTGTGACCCACTTCATGATAATTTGAGAATTCATGGAAAGTTGACGGAAGACCCACTTTATTATAACATGAGATGCTATGGGAGGCAAATTTAAGGCTTTCTTTTGATAGCATGATGATATATAGAAAGTTGACGAAGGAAAAATTCAAGATAAAATGATGTGACTGATATCCCTGAAACCCGTACTCTTCTATGTGAGTAACCATATGTGAGTATGGGGGGACCGCCCCCGTGAAAGTCAAGTGCCCCCCCACCCCCGTGCAAAAAATATTTAGAACAATAAAACAAAATATTTTTTTAAAAATAACAAATTGTCATTTTTTAACAATTGTAAAAAGAATATTAGCTGGTGTGATTAACCGATTACAATTAGTGGAATCTATGAAATATCACTACGCTCGATATATTTGACGCTTACATTACTCAATTATCCATATCACAATGATTCGAAACTTTGTCGATTATGAGTCGAAGTATTACTTCCCGTTCGCATTTATCTGTATTTTTTGCTCAATTATTTTTTGCAACCTGACAAGTTTAAAGACTTCAATAACACGGTATTAAACTACATTTTCTTCAAATTTAAGGTCTATAATTTTAATAGAGTTCTCACTAAGTATCAAACGTGAGCAATCTTTTCATGTTTCTAAAGTATATTTTATAATAAAAGAATGCGTTTTAAACTAGAGAATGGTATTAATTACAAAGTGAATGGTGGCATTATTCTTTCACAAATATAGTTATTATTAGCTTTAGTGTTTCTTTCAGAATAGGGCTGCCATCCATAACGATATATCGGGACTGTCACCGTTATGGACCTTATAAGTAATTATATGAAATACATTTTTTTTTACTTCCTCTCTACGCTTCCAGCTCAGCGTGTCCCGACGAGGTCCCTGCTTTATACGGCAACCCTATTTCAGCTATTTCTCCGGGAGGGCACTGCCCCCCCCCACCCCAACCAGAGCATGTGTACAACAATATAACAAAAATATTTTAAAAAAATTAAAAATGACAATTGCATAGTAACTCGTGCCTTTAACCGATTACAATTAGTGGAATATGTGAAATATCGCTATGCTCGATATATTTGATGATCAGTATTGCTAAGACGAATCAAGTTATAGTATTAGGTTATATAATTCTCACTCCATTCTAATTTCGTATTGTTCGCATATATCGCTATTTTTATTAATTTATTTTTTGCAACTTCACAAGTTTAAAGTCTGTAAGGACATTGTATTAGAGTACATATGCATACCGATAAAGGTCTACAATTTAAATAATAGTTTGTCAAATATTTAACATGTGCAATCTGTTTTCAATTCATAGTTCATCTTAAAAGCATAACTAAATAACCAGGCATCATTCTTTTTTTATAATTTAGAATTTAAAGGGCACAAAGAAATAGTGCACGTGTCATAAATTACTATTAAATCAAAAAAAAAAGTTTTTCTTTAAATGTGCTACCTTTGTTACAAAGTTTCCTAAATAGCAGATTTTGTTTTTAATTTTTAAATACGTAGCCTATATTTATTAATAATCAGCCTATATTTATTATCATTAACTTCCCAACTGTTTTTCTCTATTTAATATTAGAATAACAAAGAAAGTGACCCATCCATTGACATTGCACTCATTGTTTATATTATTAAGTTTATTTTAGTTGAGGACCCAGTAGAAAGAATTTTTTTTTGTGAACTAGCATTTCGATTATCATGCCATTTCAATTTTTGGTACTTGTTCTAAAACAAATTCTTATTCCTAATTCGTCAATTTAAAATAGATTCTTTGGATTAAGATAAAAATCATTCAAAGTATAGCGAAAAGGCAATTTAAGAAAGTTATAGTAGTTTGAAATTCCAAATAAAAATTTCAATCAACTAAATATTGGAAAATGTATGCTTTATTTGCATACGAATTTCCCTTAGATAAAATCACACATTAAAAAATATAATGTCTTCTGTAAACAGTTCATGTCTTTATAGAATGTTTATGCCGTTTATATGCAATTTATAAAAATGAACTGTTTTCAAAGTCCATAAAAATGACTTTACTAATAAACCTGTTTTTTTTTTCTTTTTAACTCTAGTAAAATTAGGAACTATTTAGAAAAGGTCGTAGTCTTAGCACTGTAATTTTAAGAAAGTTTTTTTTTTTCCATTTGCGTTCATCATATAATATAATGTATGCAGTGCTTTTTAGTGATGGAACCCTTTTTAATTAAATTTTGATGTGTTTTTTTTAAATTAATTTATTAATTAAGTAGCTATTCCTAAAAATGATGTAAATAAAAAATAAAAACCACATTATTATTTTAGTTAAATAAATACTATTATTATTATTATTTTGCATAACACAAGCAGGTCGATCAATTTCCGTCTTGCCGACCCGGCATGGAAAGGTGATAATTAAGAAAATATCCTAATCACATCTTTAAGCCCCTAAAATATCTGAGGCACCCTTCAGTCGTAGAGGTTGCTGGGCGCACAAGATGGTTCTAAGGTTAAGTGACACCTACATTTTTTAACTAGGATATCTCCGTTGTTCTCCAATTATGTGAGGAATGTTGCAAAATTAAATTCATTTATGTGAAAAAAATCATTTTTTTATTTTGAATTTAGCAAAAAATTTATGGGGATTATATTTAATGGGCGAGAATAATCTAGGGCAAAAGCGTACCCTCAAGGGTGACATAACTAGAGAGAATATAGTTCACGTCCCACTGGTTCGAAATTTAGGATGTCTTTGATCATTATAATTGGCTACTTTTGCAATTTCCCACCCGAAATTATGAAATACCACCTTAAAATTGTCTAAAAGAAACAACAAATTCAAGTATGGGCCAAAATAGTATACCCTTGCATTTTGATTTTGTACGACTATGTTATGTAGAAGACGTTTTTACGTCACTTTCCCCGTGACTATTTGCTATTGTATTTCTTATATGGCATCGTTCTTTGTTATGCACTGTTCAGAACGAGCCATAAACATAAACTTAAAATAGGAGATTGATTTCTCCCTATAGAAGGCAGTGCGTAACAGATTGTCTTTAGCACCCTTAATTATGTACCCCTGCCCTCACGCTGATCAGTGGTACAGTATGGGGTTGATTATAAGCATATGCCTAATTCTGGGTCACTCCACAAGCGGAGTTACTTCAGTTTATATAATGCCTCCCACTTAACTTTAAAAATGTTCTTCCCTGTTCACATGATGCATTAGAAACATCGATTTGAAGAATACTCAAAAATACACCTCTTGATTTTGAAATAATCAAAAATCTTCTGGGAAGTAGGCTCCCAAAACACACTCCAATGACGTTATTAAAAAAACAAAGTAATGAATTAAGAGTATGTTAGATTTATTTTAGTTTTTTAATATAATTTATTTTATTCCAAAAATTGACCTGGTAAGCCAGAACAAATAATATTGTTCCTTTATTCACAGACATTATAAAAAAAAAAAAAAAACATAATTTAGAAATGGAACTTTTAATCATTTTTTTACCTCAAATGAACACTAAAATAAAATATTTCACAACCAATATCATAGATCTTAAAGACTTTGCAAATTTAACCCTGTTACAGTGGAGAAGTCACATGATATATTTCTGAGTTAATCGTCATTTAAATAAGTTACTTTAACCACATTTGATTGCCATAGACGATATCTTTACAAACTTAAATAATAAGTAACTGCAAAAAAAAATAATTAAATTCTTTGGAAAACTCTAAGTTTTTTAAAAAGAGTTTAGAATTATTCGTTATAGTTTTCATTTAGCTGGCTCGTAATCTCTTGTCTGACGTGTTGAAATCATGTTTGTGTCAGCACACGGCGGTTTCCTGAATAATCAAACGCAATATCTTTCACACCTTGATACGCATGCTTCAAGTTACCGAACTGGCCGGGGACAACCAGGATATATTTCAATGAAAAAGTTTAAGGGCCCACGATCAACGAAATGATCATTCTGGCTACTATGTTTCCATTTTTTATTCTTTGAGCAGGTCACTTGCAAAACCTGCTAAGTAACTTATGGTTGATTTTTTAAATAAAAAGCTAAGTTTGTAAGTTAACTTTAAGTAGCGAATAAATCATTTATATAAATGACATAAAATACTGTTGACACTTAGCAAAAAAAGCCAGAATGAATAACTCATTTTTTTTCCTCCTAACATTCGACTCACCATGTTTTGCTAGTGACCTCCCCATTTTGTAACGATCTATTTAGTAAAGTTTTAAAATACACTGAGCCACAAATGGTAATGGTGCAGACATTCATAAACGTAAAAATAAAATAACAGCATGAGGGGTCTTATGAAGAACATAATAAGCAATGTGTTAGATATACGAACAATCTGTACTTATAACAAACAATTTACGAAAAACTCTTAGTACAACAATAGCTGGGACTCAAATTCAAACTTTGATGTTTAAAAAATAAAAGACCATAAAATATTAAAATAAGTTTCAAATGATAAAAACACCCACTAAATAAAGTTGTACATAAACTACATATTTTTGTCTCGTAATATTTTACGAAATAGAATTTTCAGCAGTTTTTGCTTACAAATATGCATCGGTTTATAGAGAGATCTAATACAGAACATAGAAAAATATTAAAGAAACCGTGGTCTCTGTGCAACAATTATAGCAGACGATTATAGAAGAGTTAACAATCATATGATATATATGGAAGAAAATAGAGAAATGAAGTTTTATTTTCTAACTTAAATTCAAATCAATTAGAAATAAGTTAATTGTAGACAAGTGCATCCACAAGTTATAGGCATAGAGACGTGTACAATCAAATATGTGTAGTGCAATAATTGTAAAATAAATCTCATTAAATGTATGGGGAAGTAGTTGCCACAGTGAGAACACGTTTACAGTAGAATGAAATTAATCGATAATAAACCAAATGATTCATTGAACTGTACAGACAAAATCGGTTTAAAAAAAAAAACAAAACCAAGTAAACTATAGAATGAGTATCACTCGTTGTATTGTGTGTGACAGAAACTGATCTCATTGGATATGTTTCACAATTGTCCATAAAGTCGCTCAATAGCCTTTTGTTGGGAGCGACTGATACATTAACACAGTCCACGACCTTTAAAATTTTTAGACATATTCCTTCCATGGCCTTAAACGCCACAACCTCTGCACATGTAGGCTTACAGTGTTTTGCCGATTTGTTATATTTGAAATACCCGTCCTGACACATTGTAGAGTTAGCCATGGTCTTGGTATAAGGCACGGTCACAACATCGTACTATGGCACCATAAAAGGGAGCATACATTAATAACTTAAACAGACGAGAGGAAACTAGAATTTTATCGAAATAAATTTAAAATCTACGCTACATTTAAATTTTCTGCGCAAAATTTAGAAAAAAATTACAATCATGAAAAAAGCAAAGAAATTTACTGGCTCGTAACATTCCTTACACTATATTTTGTTCCCTTCTTGTGGCATCTTTAGTGACATAATTGTTCCATCTTCACAAGGTGTACATTCGAACAAGTCTAGATACTCTCCTTCACCATAAACTGTTGGTTGGAGTTCATTAACACCCAAACCAAAATTGTGACTTCCATGAGGTAACGATAGGGGTGATGTGATGAGTAGAATCCCCTTCTAATAAAATCATAATGTAATCCTTTTCTCCGTTTTCATTTTTTGATTATATAAAACAGTAAATTTTAATTATAATTCTAACTCACATTTTTGTAAGCTTAGTTATCATAACTTCCAGGAAATAAATAGCTCTGTTATCAACACTGTCGGTCAACACTGTTGGTCAACACTAATGTGTCACACTAATGTTTACTAATAAATGCATAGAATAGTAGTTATCCGCAGATGTAAATAGTTAGACGTATTGTTTCGTAAGCTAAAACGTATGGAAACCACCCAGTTATTGAACAATTTTCTCAAATAATTTTTTTTTAATTTAAAGACATGTAATTATCAAAAAATTAGACTGAGAGCAATTCACCTTTCAATAAGCGATTCTCAAACTGGGATCCATGTGCAAACGGAGGCATATTAAATCTGTGTACTCACTAAAAATTATTACTGCAGCCCCTCTTGAGGCAAACTGAATTTGCTATTTTTTTTCCTCCTTAATTTCTCCCATGTGAAGAGATGTATTGACAGAAAAAAAATGATTTACCATTAAAATAAAATCTTCCATGTTCCGTTGTTTTGACAGAAAATTCCAGTGAAATTGCATCATCATCTCTTGTAGATAACTTTAAATCATATTTAACTACCAGAACGCCATATTTTGCAATAGGAACAGATCTTGGCCTAAAAAAACAGATTTAGTATTACCTTTCTCTCACATCATTTCTTTAATTAGCAAACGATTGTAAAATATATTTGTATGGAGAAAATGCAGCATACGTCGTCATTGCCAAACTGTGGTCACGTGATGTCTAATGGTGTGCACGTCAAGTCTGTTGATTGGTGTTTCATTAAGCGAAACCGTTGCTAAAATTGTCCGAGCCATAGAATTTGTTTATGATCAAAGAAATATAATTACAATGACATTTATTTTTTTTAACCGCGTGTTGCAGTTAAAATGAGGTTTTTAAATATATTTTATTTGCTGCAATTAAATATGACATTATAACTATAATATTTTAACTGGATATCATTTCTGTCATAAAAACCTAAGATGTAAGCTTTTTTTTTATTACGTGTTCTAACGTTGACGATATAATGGGATAAGTGTAAATAGTTTTAAGTTAACAGCGTGGGCTGCTTTAGGATTGATTTTAACATCGGAATGAGGAAATGTGAACATCACCATTCTCGAAATGTTTGATTTCGCGACCCACTCATTGTTTTGTTTATACCGTATATAGAAGTATAGTTAACTTGAAATAAAATTGAGGTCCATATAGTTTTAATATATTTTAGAGTTCAACAAAATAGTAAATGAACTCTTTAAAAAAAGTTAAAGAAACCTGTTGAGGCAATAGCAGATCATTTCTTAATGATAAGTGTGATGCTGTGGTCTATTATTTTTTTTTATTTAACTAGTAATTTTAGGTTATAAATTTTATTATATCATTCAATTACATAGAGAAAATATGTACAATTATATAACTATTTTGTAAAACTATCAAACAATGGAGATAATATATACAAGAAAAACAATTTTGTTAAATCAATCTATTAAAGGACAATTCTCAACACTCCCGTAATGAAACACGAGTAAATGTGGTAGTTAGAAGTAACATGATTCATCACAGGAGGTGGTTCGTGGAAAAGGATTGGAGAGTAAAAGAGATGATTGGGGTGGATGAAGTAGATGACAGGGATGGTTGAGTTGTAATACATGAAAGAGACTGTTTTCGTCGTCATTGTCGAACCTTTTTATTAATCACCTGTTTATATGTTAAATGAATCCAAAACAAACCAAAGATTATGACATTTGCTTGTAATTTATAGTTCGTTTAATTATGACATCTGAACTTTATTTTTTAAATTAAATATCAGGTAATTTCGAACAAACAAGTTTCATTGTGCTTATAAGTAATTCAAGAATTAAATTAAAATTATCTAAATTATGAAAATAAAAAATTACAATAGATGATAACAATTATATTATCTTGATATACATATATATTTTTTTTTAAATATCTGTTAACAACTAAGGCGTTGTAAATATTATTCACGTATTTGTGCAAAATGAGATTCTTATAAAAAGAGTCAAAATGTTTGGTATCACGAATGCTATTTAAAGTGATTATTAAATTCGCATTGAAAATAAATTATAATCTGTTTATTATCTGGAATCCTTAATTTCACAAACATAAATGTATTTTAAAATACATTTAAAATTTTAATTATCAGAACAATTGATAAAACTAAATTAAGAAAGTTGACAGTATATGCAGGGCGTGTTTTATTATTTGAGTAAGATATGGTGCGCCCACTGTCGTCATTCTCTTCGACATCACTGTCTAAAATTAAGATAGAAGTGCTTGGTGCTATTGAAACATTCTCAAAATTCATCACAGAAGTGTACACACCATTAGAACAAACAGTGTTGTCGTAACCACCACATGGAATAACTTCATGGTTTTTAAACATATTTATTCCCAGACCGCACACGTCACACCGTCTACATTCAGACTGACAGGGTTTTCCCTGTACGTCACTTCTATAATATCCGTCTTCACACATGATTGTCGAGTCTCTTGTCTTGGTGCATGGTACAGTAACAATCTCGTACTGGGAAGAAATTAATTATCATAAGAAATACTTCTTCATATGACATATGTTTCCTATTAAAATTGAATTAAAGATCGAATTATATTTCTGCTAATATAACAAAATATTTTACACTATTCGAAATTTACCTGTTTAATAAAAATGTTTGAAACCATGTAACTTACCATTTTTGTTTCATAACATTTCTCACAATAGAGATGTATCCCTTCTTGTGCCATTTTTGGTGTCATAAATGTTCCATCTTCACAAGGTTTACATTCAAACCAGTCCAGATACTCTCCTTCACAACAAATAATTGATTGGATTCCATCAACATCAACAACAAAACTTGGAGGTACAGGAACAGGTCTTGATGGAATGTTGGGATCACAGTCTCCATGACTTCCATGGACTCTCCATAATATTAATATAATTAGTACAATAAGTCCCACAGAATACATTTTTTAATTCATTAATGATGCTGGATTTTTCATTGTTAATAATTTGTTTTAATTTCTAATTTAAAAATTTTAAAAATAATTTTAATGTTCACCTCTTGTGTCGAAGCCTTCATTTAACGAACTTCTACATAATAAAATGTCAGTAATAAATAGTTTAAGTCAAGTATGGTGACACGATATGTTCACGTTCATGTCACGGAAATTCGATATGATTAGAATCCATAGAAACTTTTCTATTCATAAAATAAAACATTCGCTTTGTAAACCTCACAACGATACAGTCAGTGTATATACAAATTTATATATATATGAACGTGTGAAGTCTATCACAGAACCTATTTGTTTAATTCCAATGTGGCTTGTGATAACGTTGTCAAGAGGCTAAGTTGAATAGAAATTAAAATATATTTAAAACAGTTGGTGCTTGCATTTAGCTGATTTGTAGAAACAAATCATCCCATGACAACACACATGCATATAGCCAGTGATCGTAGCACGGCTAGACAGAAATCTTCTCAAGTTCTGTTTGATACCACGTGGTGGTCTATCAGTTATACTAGGATTACAGTTCCCCAGAAAACTTAACGGTAAACAGGTCAACAAGGTCTGGGTTTATTATGGTGCTCCCCACTTTCGCCCCCAGTTCACACCTATTCTACTTTGGAGTATTGCCAAGTGTATCCATTTATGAAACGGTTCACAGCACACACCCCCCCCCCAACCACAAAAAAGAGCGTTTGATATGGTCTGTACCTTAGTCCCATTCTTTTTAGCACCTCTGATCTAGTATAATTTATTCAATGAGATCTGTCTATGGTTTCTATTTCTTCAAAAAAGAACCTCAAACTATCGTCAGCCTTCATGTAATGGACATCGGCCAAAATGTTTATGGTATTGAACACATGAACATTTGGGGGATTCAAGCGACTGAATCTTTAAAGCTGGGGGCCCACTTTTTGATGGCATAAGGCAGGTCGGCACAAGACACAGCCCGCGGGGTGCAAGCGGCCCACCATCACCCACTTTATTGACCGCGAAGTAACGAAATATTATTTTTTTTTTAACAGCTTCCCCCCCCAACCCGGCCGTCTTATTATCTTGCGGTCCGCACAAGTTTTTCATTTAGTATTACTGCCCGCCTTACAGTTTGAGTTGTGCAGGGCTCGCATCAGATAATATGAAAAGTTCACTTAAGGCCCAGTTTATCATGGTATAAGCTAATATGACAAGTTGACGTAATGCCTATTTTATGATAGCATACGGTAATATGTTGTTCGTCCGTCGAGGATCGACGAGGACCATCGAGTCGTCTGGTGACTGATGACTTGCGCGGATGACTTTGTTTAAAGTGAAGAAGAGTTGCGCGGCGTCTACCTCCCTCTCTCGTCCGAGCCCACCATATCCAGTGGCAGGACTGTACGTCAAGACGACCAGGGATGGGTTCGGTTGCAGGAATTGTCATTGTATGCGTCTTACGGGACTCCAGCTCCGGGTTTGAATTCAGAGTTTCCTTTTCTTAGATGAGTTGCCGACCAAGGTTAACGAGTCTCATCCACCCGGGGTGATGTTTTTGCTTGACTGGCCTTTGGCTGGACTTGAACACCAGACCACCAGCTTGAGGTTTTCTCAGTTTAGACCATTTGGCCACCCAGCCCAGTCACACTGTTTAGTGGAGGTGGGAAGAACGGCGGAAAGCGAATAGAGGGGTGGCGTTATTTTTTTAATTTTTTTTTATATTAATTTACGCCGTAGAGAAGAAAATTCGGATGCTAAGCTTTGAGGTAGTCGTTTTTTGTGTGGTGTAGAAGCGGTGGTAATTGAAAGACTATTGTTGGCTGTATTAGAATGATTATAGGGTATGATGGGTGATGTAATACAATTTTAAAAAAAAAACACAAATTAAGAGTTAACAGTAACGATGGATTGTAGCAAACAAGCGTTCCATAATGGAAACATCTCGCAAGAGAAGAAATATTTTTGTGTCCTCACTTCAAAAGCATTAAAGATGACTTGAGATTTCAAGAAACAACACCACCCCCCCCCCCAACCTACAATTTTTTCCGACCGCAGTTTGCTGTTTCATTTTGTGGTCTATTAAATAGTCCATTAAAAAGAGATGGCATGCTCAAAAATAGACACAATTTGTAAAATTAATCAAATGAAGGATAACGCAGACCCCCCCCCTTTTTTTCCCCGTAAACAATTGCTAAAAATAAATGTCCCAAATCACTCCAGGATACACATATCGCCTACGTTAGACTAAGCTGTTTTCACAAAAAAGTATGTCATAAGTAGGCAATGTCTAAGAACTTTTTTTTTTTTTTAAATGAGCCATTCTCAAATGAAGGTTCATGTTCAAAAATTGGTTTATTTCGATTTTAAAGTATACGTAATAAAAGGATAAATATATAAATATTTATTAATAACTTTATTATTATTATTAAGTAGTTTTATATAATGCAGTACCCCAGCCTATGGCTAGGCTCACAGCGCTTTAAATAAAAATTACCAATTACAGAAACGTGTACATTCAAAAACAACATTTAGTGAAAACCTTGACCTCACCCACCCAAATACGATCTACCGCTTTCTAGCCATGGACAGCACCCAGCAGCATCGAGGGTTGTTTATCAGTCAGAGTATTGTGAGAATGAGTCGGTATAGTACAGTTTGAAGAGATGGGTTTATAATTTAGGGAATTGTAATTTTGATAATTAGGCAACATATCAACATATAAAGATATCAAATCATAATTACAAAATATTCGCTCGGTAGTAATTGAGTGTTTTTTTACTAGACTATTTAAAAAGTGTAAAATTTAAAAAGAATAGAGAACCATGTTCTTTTACATATGCATAGGACAAAATTTAACCTTGTACCATGCATTGAAATAAGGCAAGTTCCTTCTTTCGACCAGCCCTGAATCTACCTGTGTGTTATTGTTGCTTAAATCTCAGTAAGATAATCTTGTTTATTACTTCCCTTTTCACACTACATTTTTTCATACTTTGAACAAGACGTCAAATTAAAAATTTTGAATTAACAAACGACTCAAAAAATAGAGACTATTCAATGTTTAAAATGTAAACCTTTGCTCCTCAGGAACCACTGGTTTTTACTGATACGGCGGAACTGGTTGTACATTTCTTATCAATCCAACACAGAACTTTTTCCACTAATAATTAATTTATATTTTAAATCTCTGTCTGGCAGCTGTTAGCATAACACTAACGCCAGCCTTAGGTAAACTGACGCCCTCTGCGAGGCACCCGTTCGTGGCCCCCATCCCTGTCTCCGTATGGCTCCGCACTTTTTCCCAAAAACGACGTAGACTATAGACCACGTGTTATGATGCTAGACGTGTAGCTAACCATGCGCATTTTAACATGCACATTAATTTACACTGTTCAGTTTTTCCTACTTTTCTACGATACTTTGAACCATTTCCACACCACCTTTAGGGACGTCCTTAAGGAAATGCGGTATTAATAAATTAATTTCCACGCCCTTTCGGTTGGTTTCAACCCAAGGGTTATCATCCAAATAAAGAATGCAACTTTCATTGTATGAAAACTCATTGTATGAAAAGCGCATGTACTAAAAGTTAAAATACTGTTTCTTGACCCCTGAACCGAGCTTCCCACTTCACTCTAAAAAAACTAAGGGAATTCAAATATTTACTGGAGGCCCCAGGCACTCCTATGGTCATGGCGCCCTGTACAAGGGCACCGGTCACACACCCTAAAGACCAGTGTTGATTACATCATACTTTCAAGGAACTGTCATGTCATCACAAACATTTTAAAGAGTAATTCTGTTGGAGAGACAAATATAATTATTATTTTTGCACAAACAAACACACTCAAAATATTAACAGCCCCATACACGCAAAAAAAAAAAAAACACTTTGGAACCTTATCCAAAACCTTATTAACATTGAGCACTATGTCGTGTCAAAGAAATAAGCCAGGCATTATGTATTCAGCTTTCCCTGGATCGTCGAACTTTGGACTCCATATCCTTGTACCCTTCCTGTTATGGAGCGTCAACAAAAGACTTGACAGAAAGAACACGTGATCCTTTATGACAACGCTCCATAATAAACCATGTACGTCAGTGCTTCTTACAGCGGTGGAAGGTTTTGAACGCCGAGTGGTGCTCGGTGACAGTAGTGAATAAATAATGTATGTTCTGTCTGCTGAAGAAGGCTCTTAGCCGGGAAAATTCTCTTTTCATTGTCATGTCGTTATATTTCAAGCCTCCACAACACTGGTTCTACCAATGACTTCACGCAGATTAAACGCCGTCCTTTGTTTCATATCCTACACAAATGACATTTTGTTGTTTATTTCTTTTTTATGAAATATATTTTTGCTCTTATTTTTTTTTATACCATTTTTCTCGGGGGGGGGGGGGTTGAGTTGCCCCCGTGGTGGGCAATGCCCCCCGCCCCTCATGGAGCGTTACATTGAACACATACAGTCTATCAGCTCTATTATGAATGCAGTTAGCGACACATGGGAAGTTCACTTAAGGATAACTTTATGATAACTAGCGGATATAAGGCCTAATTGATGATAATATGATGATAATATGATTATGTATAAGAAGTTAACTTATAGGATTAGCACAATGTTGAAAATGCGTCAATTTATAGACAATGTTAGGATGTGTGTATTTTTTGTTGTACTATAAATAAAAATACCTCTCTGTCTTTTAGCTTATGTTGCTGTGTACCGTACTCACTTCTGTCACTATGTACCGTAATCATCACTGTCAGTAACTATGTACCTTACTCATCTCTGTGAATTATTTCTTTCATAAAGTTATAATAAAGAGAGTAAATTCATGTTCTTTAAAAAAAAAAAAATAAAAAATAAAAATAAAAAAAAATTTTTTCGTCACACCAACGAGCGGATTGCCTCCTTTCAAAGTCTGCATTACTGAAATACTTTTAACTTTAGTCCTTTAAAATCGTTCCATTATTAAGTTAAATAGATTGTACGTTACTTTAAACGAAATTCACATATCAATCACCATCATTTGTAATTCTCATCTTCATCATTAATAAAAACCTAGAGAACCTAAAAGGGTGCTCCAGCCATCAACGGAACTACGTCATTTTGTGCAAATTGTCACACTCCTCTCAGTGTATCCCATGATCTTACATGCCTCCTAATGGTTGTGTATAGGTAGTCTATATTTTTCCCCTAGTGGATATTCATTTCACATATATTTAGTTTTAAATACGTCTATTAGAAAAATTAAGCATCGAAATAAAACAACATTGGCGTATAACACAGACAATTCCTTTACCCTAGGTTTAGTTTTAATAAACCTTACATTGTAACAAAGTTATTTTAAATATTTATCCTAGAGCTTATGATATTTATTTCCTTAATACTTCTTTAAAAAAAAATAATAAACGATCTGAGAATTCCAATTTTATTTGAAGCCTCCTTAAGCATTTAACTCAAATCATAAAAACATGTCTTAAACTGTTAAGAATAAGTGCATAAAATATCTTCATGAGTAAGCACATATTGATGACGCAAAGTGTGGACTCAA